GAGAGACCTGCCTTCTCCTAACCCCTTCCCAGGCGGGGAGAGGGCTCCCCTGCCCTGCCCGCGCCCCGGCCAGGCTGGGCTGCCCTGCCCTTTGCTCCCGTCAAGCCGAGGCTGAGTCAGACGCCTGTCAGGCTGCGAGCAGGTGGGGACAGAAGCTGCTCCGACCTCCGAGGGAACGGGTGGTCATTCTCCTTCCCTCTCCCATTGTGTTCTTCTCTCCCCATAGGTGGTGGGGCTGAATCAAGGTGAACTCCTCCTCCGAGTCCTTCGGCCGGTGCAGCCCTCGCCATGGCCGTGGGTGTGCTCGGGACCTCGCTGCTGCTGATGGCCGGCATCGCGCTCAGCGTGGGGCTGTGCAGGAGATTCACCCGCCGCCGCCTGCGCTCCCACCAACGCCTTTGCACTTTCCTCTTGGAGATGTTGAGCACCTTCCAGATTTGCGCTTGTACTAACGAGCTTTGCCTGCTCGGCAACGTGGAGCCGAAGCCACATACCGCCCTTACTCTCACCTACGGCTTCACCGTCCTGCACGGTTTGACTCTGACTGGGAGCACATGCAATCCCTGTGGCACTTTGCAGCCCATGTGGGGTGGTGGGATCTCGGTTAAGATGGGTGGACTGAAGATCGGAGCTCAGTTCGTTGCTGCGGTGCTTGCCAGAGTGTTTATGCACTTTATCTGGAGCCTGGAGATGGCAGAACCACATTCTGGAGCAATTTCACAGGGCTGCGGCAACCCCATGCAGACTACAGAGGTGCAGGCGTTCTGCATCGAACTGCTCTTTTCTGTCGTTTTCCAGCTGACCATCCTGCGAATGGAAAGTGTTAATCCTAAATACAAAGTCCATTTGATTGCTCTTCTCATCACCATGCTCGTCTATGCAGGTCAGTCTTTATTTTTTTCTTTTTTTTAAATTTTTTTCTTTATTTTTATTTTTTTTAATTTTTTTATAGCCATAAAGTTGTAACAGAAGGGTGGTTTTTTTCTTAAAAAATGCTAAGATGCAAAATGATTTTTCTTAGATTACAAAAAAATGCCTCGAGGAAAGTCTTTGGTCCTACGTATGCAGTGTTCATTTTGAGTTTGTATTATATAAAGTTTGCCTGGTTAGATTCCAGGTAGGTGTGGGGTTAAGAATGAAATGAGTTATGAATTTAAAATGGTGTCAAATCTACAAGTAAATACAGCTACGAGTTTCACAGAACACTGTTAAAATAGCTGGGTGAAGGATTGTTTCATAATCCAACTTGATGTAGCGTGAGAGGTTTCATACAATGTGCTCTGATTTCTAAGGGGTGTTGCAAGAGAGCACCGCTGTCTGCATCAGGAAAGTAATGCTGATTGTGCCACAGCAGGTACAGACCTGAAACATGGAAGTTCTCTATTTAAATAATGCATAATTCCTAGCAGTGCAGTTTATTTAACTACCTTAAATCCTTAAATCGGAGGCAGGAATGGTTATTTGGAGAATGCTTGCAGAAATGATGAAAACAAATGTAAAAAGAAGAAAAAAAAGTTAAGTGCCTGTTGTACCGTGGCATTTACAAGAGTCTCCTGTCCCTGAAATGCTCTGTGTGTCTGTGTCCTTGCCTCTTGCCTGATTGTCACCTCATGTTTCCCAGAGCTGGGACACTGTCACCTGCACAGCCTCTCTGGAGCAGTGGGAAGAAAGATGTGAGAGGAGTCAGTCTGAACTTCTTACTGTTGATGCTCCCTGTTGTTCCCAGTGATGTGCCAGAGTTGTTATGTCACTTGTCACTTGAGGACTGCCCTGCAAGGGAGTGGTTTGCACTGGGAAGGAGATTCTGTGGTTTGGAGTACAGGGAGGTGAGAGAAAGATGGTCACAGAGCTCCCACCACAAAGTCATCTAGGAAATTATCAAATCCATTTATGAGAGAAGGAGATCACTCTCTTATCTGCAAACATCTGGGATGTCATTGACATCTTGTCCCAAAGGTTTAACTGTATGATGTTATCTAACATAATAGCATATAGTAGAATAAAGTAGAGTCACATTTTCAGATGTATTACTGAAAAAAACCTTCACTCATTATGTCTAGCTGAAATTAGCTAATACCTGAAAGATTAAAAGAAGTCCATGGAGAATTTTGAGAATTAATTTAGCAGTTTGAACTACTTTCTAAAATTAATTTTGGAAAGCAGAGGCAAGGTGTCAGTGCATTTTAGCACATGAAATATATTTCTGAATTGCTCAGAAATTAGTAGTCAGATATTATCCTCCCTCTCCTACGAGCGTAGAAACCTGAATTCCTTCTTAACATTCCTTTCCTGCTTAGCAAATAGTCCTATAAAATAATAGGTGTCACATCACCTTTCTCTTCCCAAGTTCATACAGAGAATTCATGCCCAGTGTCGTTGGCCAGGCTGCCCTCATGGTGATGTGACACCTGGGTCCCCCACAGGGTCACAAGTCCTGCCAGCAAACCTGCTCCAGCGTGGGCTCCTCTCTCCACGGGGCCACAGGTTCTGACAGGAACCTGCTCCAGCGTGGGCTTCCCACGGGGTTACAGCCTCCTTTGGGCACCCACCTGCTCTGCCGTGGGGTCCTCCACGGGCTACAGGTGGTCATCTGCTCCACCATGGACCTCCATGGGCTGCAGGGGGACATCTGCTCCACCATGGACCTCCATGGGCTGCAGGGGGACAGCCTGCCTCGCCATGGGCTGCACCACAAGTTGCAAGGGAATCTCTGCTCCAGTGCCTGGAGCACCTCCTCCCTCTCTTTCTCCCTGACCTTGGTGTCTGCAGTTGTTTCTCTCACATCTTCTCACTCCTCTCTCCAGCTGCAATTTTGCCCTGTTTTATTTTTTGGGTTTTTTGGGGGTTTTTTCCCCTTTCTGAAATACGTTATCCCACAGGTGCTGCCACCTTTGCTGATGGGCTCAGCCTTGGCCAGCAGCAGGTCCAGGAGGTGCAGGACTTTTAACTTTAGAGATAGAGTGTTCTAGCAGGGATCTCTGAAAGGTGCATTACATCCACAAAATAAAATTCATGCTAATGATTTCTTTTTACGCTCTGAATTTAAAAACTAAATTGGTTGTGCCTTCAGGATCCGGGTTTATTACAATTATAAACGTTAGAAAATGTATCTCATATATAGTAGATCGTATTTCATTCCATTCATTGTGCTCTACTCTATGTTTGAAAGCTGTAGCCTGTAAGAGGAGTGATTGCAGTCTAAAAAAGAACTGTGAGAAGGTATATAAGTCTTACTCCAGATCATGTTTGGTTTGGTCACAGTTTTGAAGGATGGCTTACACCTATCTCACAGGGCTCAAAAACGTTAAATTATATTTATAGAATCACAGACTGGTTTGGGT